AAGGTGGAAAACATTACTGCATATTTGAGAGTGAAGGTGTTTGGAAGGGAACCACTGAAGATGCAGGGGAGAGAGAGTTGGAGGATATATCTTGGAATAGGCATGAAGAGGTGGGTATGGGACACATCTGAGGAGTGGCCTGTGAAGGGAGAGAGTCCATTCATTTGCAATAATTTGCAGCAATAAGGGTGTAAGCTGAACATGCAAACAGGTATAGGCTGGTGGCATGTGGACATTCTCTTCTGATTGCATCACTTTTTTCAGTGAAACAGAATGCAAAGTCGTTAGGTGAGAGTAAGGATGTGAATAAGTATTTGAGATTCAAGGAGGGAGGGGGCATGAAATAGTCATCTCAGAGAGGAGAGGAATGAAGGTAAAAGGGAAATGGAGTAGGATTCCTGAGCAATTGTCATGGTCCATTTTTGTTACGAATTTAAAAGAAGGTTGCTGTGTGTTTTTCTGTACCACATTCAGTGTGCAGGAGTGGAGTGAGAGGAAACTGCATTTAGCTACTGTTCAAGTTTAGCCAGGAAAGTATGTTAATGGGAGAGAGCTTAACATAATGCCAGGAAATACTGGAATCTAAACTGAGTAAAGAGGTAGACATGAGTAAATGAAGGACAGTGGAAAGGTGTGTAAAATAAATGAATTGAGGGCTTCAAGGGAGTTGAAAAATTGTTAGAAAGGAAGCACTCGTGAAAAATTGTTCAAAAGGAAGCACATAGGCTGGGAGGACAGGATGTGAAGCTTGAAACCAATCATTTGGATGACTCTTGTCATTTATAATGACATCCCGGGATATGACCATGGAAGGTGAGATGAGATGGAGGTGAGTCTATAATTGTTAAAAGAGGTCAATAAATTAAGAGTCCATTATTGGAAGGATCATTTAGGTGGACAATAAAATTGCTAAGAACTTTAGCAGGAGTAGCATTACAGACAGTGACAGTAAGCCAGGAGCTCATATCTTCAAGAAGTACAGAGAGATGACTTGGGAGTCTGTACATGCCTGCAATAGGAGGAAGTTGATGTGGTTTGTGTCCCCACTCAAATCTCATCTTGAATTGTAGTTCTCATAATCCCCATGTGTCATGGGAGCGACCTGGTGGGAGGTAATTGAATCATGGGGGAAGCTACCTCCATGCTGTTCTCATGATAGTGAGTGAGTCCTCGTGAGATCTGATGGTTTTCTTAGGGGCTTTTACCCAACTTCACTCTGCACTTCTCCTTTCTGCCACCATGTGAAGAGGAACGTGTTTACTTCCCCTTCCACCATGATTGTAAGTTTCCTGAGGCCTCCCCAGTCCTGCAGAACTGTGAGTCAATTAAATCTCTTTCCTTTATAAATTACCCAGTGTCAGGCAGTTCTTCATAGGAGTGTGAGAATGGACTAATACAGAGGTATAGCATGAAGACATGAACTTCAAAGCTTGCAAAGGGTTAGAGGTTAGCGAGGAAAAAGGGATAATGATCTTCAATGGCAATGAGTGTAAGTGGACACTTACTCTTCCTCCAGATCATATAATATGAAAAGATACAAGGAATATAGTAAAGAAAACAGCCACCATTGACAAGGCTGCGGGGGAGAAGGTGTCCTGAGGGGAGAGAGTTTTAGTTAGAACAAAGAGAGGGAAGCATTTAAAAAAGAATTTTAGAAAATGGAATAAAGACCATGAGTCCCCAAGGGCACCCTTGGAAGGGTTTTGTGAGTAACAGCACAATGGGAAATTGGTTTGGATTAGGAAATGAGTAGAGTAGTATAAAGATGAAAGTCTGAGCAATTAGGGATGGGTGGTTGATGGAATCAGGGACAAAGGTTATGATAGGGTTAGTGTTCATGACCTTCTATTGGAAAGTTGGGGCACTCTGCCAGGGAGTTCCTGCCTTGCTAGAGAGATCTATTTTAAACTATAAGTTCTATCAACATATTTTTAATTCATATGTCATTTTCAAACATTAGATGATTAGATCATTTGCACAGAACTGTTTGCTTAGTTAGGTAATCAAACAGCAATTTATTAACTTCCCATATTGCTATTGTATATTCAACCTGAGTAATTTGTATATACAGATAATAATTATTTCTAGCTCGTAAATTCTTAAAGCTGAAAGAAAAGAAACAAAAATACAATTTTGCCAGGTCCTTAGATAAGCCTTCAACTCACAATGTTGTCATAGAGCACTTAAACAAATAAATCTATTCAAAAACAAATTATAACACTTTAAAAAGCACTCATACAAACAATGATGTTTAATATTCTTTAAGTTGGGTAGACAAATTATTCTACAGATGTGGCATTCATACTATCAACAATTTCTAAGATACTGTGCCTAAGGCTTGATTTCTCTTAAACCTATATGTGCAAATATGAGTTTGAGGTAGGCTCTGAATCATTTTGGTTTTTATTTGGGAATTGACTAAACATTTTAAAGCCACAAGGCCTATGAAGTTGACAGATGGCTTTTTCATCTTCTGTGAATTTCCTCTTCTAAAAGTGAAATTTGTATTTTGCTTTATTCCACCTTCCCTTACTTCTTTGTGAACCCTAGTTCCTGCTGAGAGTCCCTACTCAATATGACATCGGGTAGAAATGCTTTTAAGGGTCAGGAATAAATAAACACTTCTAAACAGTGATTTTGAGTGTTATGTGATTCCTTTAGTAAGTCAACAAATAAGTAAAAGAAAGAGGGAAAAGAGAGGGAAATAGTGGAGGAAAAGTCTAACTAGAAAATATATAACTTAACTGATTGAGTTTAGTTAAATGCAAACTTAAATTTCATAGTAAGAAATCATCAGTGTTTTAGTGAAATTATAATCATAATTCAAATATTGCTTAGTTTAAATAATGGTTTTTGTTTGCTGTTTAGTTTCTATCACGGAATGAGCCTGTGTGCCTTTTAAAATAAATCTTACAGATTTATTTGGTATAAATATGTTTCCTTCTCGGAATAGAAGACCAAAGGAGAGTGGGGGAAAAGTGTTTCAAATTTATTAAAATATACATTTTCATACCTAGATATTCCTTTTCTCTCATTCTAAACCATCAGCCCAGAGGGAAGGGAAAAAGATAAACAGGAAGGCTGACTCCTGGAATTCTAGGAATTGTTGCTGTTTTCTAGCATTTTCATACCAAAGTGATGGACTATAGGACTTCATTGCCAGAAATTTGTACTCTTCCCCAAGCTCGCTTTCTTTCTTTCTTTCTTTCTCTCTCTCTCTCTCTTTCTTTCTTTCTTTCTTTCTTTCTTTCTTTCTTTCTTTCTTTCTTTCTTTCTTTCTTTTTCTTTTCTTTCTCTTTTTCTTTCTTTCATCCTTCCTTCCTTCCTTCCTTTCTTCCTTCCTTCCTTTCCTTCCTTCATTCCCTTCCTTCCTTCCTTCCTTTTTTCTCTTTCTTAATTTCTTTCTTTCTTTCTTTCTTTTCTTTCTTTCTTTCCTTCTTTCCTTCCTTCCTTCCTTTTCTTTCTTCCTTCCGTCCCTCCCTCCCTCTTCCCTCCCTCCCTCTCTCCTTCCCTCCCCTCCCTCCTTCCTTCCTTCCTTCTTCCTTTCTCTCTCTTTTCTTTCTTTCCTTTTTCTTCCTTCCTCTCTCTCTCTCTGTCTCTCCCCCCTTCTCTCTTTATATATATGTATGTACATGTCTGTATATATGTTATGTGTGTGTGTGTGCGCACATATGTGTATGTGTGAATCTCAGTTCTAGAATTTAGCTCAGAATTACAGGGTCATATAGAAACAAAAGGGACAGTTTCAAACTGAGTCCCCTGGAACTTTGAGGTTCTTTAGTGAAGTACAATAAAAGGAGGCCTAGTAGAAGATGCCTACTCATAATAATTTTTTTTACCTGTTTAAAAGTGAGATTTATTGGATTTCAGAACTTAAAAACTAAAGATGTCGTGTGCCTTGCCCACAGCCCACGTGGAAACTCAGCTTCCCTAGGCTCTCACCTCAGTGCTCTTTGTACCATGCCACTTCACTTCTTACCATAGACTTTAGTCTGTATATAAAAAATCCTTAATAAGCAGGACCACAATATCATTCTTTACTAGTAGCTGCCATTTTTTAAGACACCATAAATTCTTACATGAATATTTAAAGCTTATTTTTTAAAAATTAACCTCGAGTTGGTTCTTTCTGCAATGGAGAGAAAGACTGGACTGGTATCAAAGAAACTGAACTAGTCATAGAGACTACAGCTCATAGTCAAGCTTTAATGATTTTGTGAATTAAACTTCAATTTCTTGCCAGTAAAATGAGGTTAATAAAGCGTCATATCTTCCTTACAAAAAATGAAGTTGGTCTTATAAGTGTCAAATAAAACAGTAACTGAAATAATGCATGGAATATATGTAGAAGTACTTTGCAAGCTGCAAATAAATATATGTAAGCTGCTTCTTACTACAATTAATTATTATAAAATAAGAAATATATAACTTATCTATGACCAAGTGCAAAAGTGGGCACTAGTGGGTATTAATTCTGCACAAGAGGCACATTTAAAAGACTTCTTGTCTTTTTCATAAACATATTTTAATTCCAAATTTTCTGGCAATTTCTTTCTACCCTTTAGAATGTAAGTCTCCCCCACTAGACTGGCTTTCTGTGGACACAGATTGTTTCCGTAGATGTGGATCATAATCATCATTTGATCTTCTCTGACCTACAAATGTGAAAGTTTCATATAGTTCAACCTAATAATTTAGCTTTGTATTTCTAGAACAATGTCCAGCTCCAGGTAAAAGTTTTTTAAAAAATTGCTGTACTGAACTATTGAATGGAACTTGGAGATAAAGTTCCTTCCAAAATAACTGCTCTTCAACAGGGAGTAATAGGTAAATGTGTTAGAAGTGAGAGGAATCAAACTGCCAATGATTTACTCTTTTTTTTTCCCTCCTAGGTTTCTGGGATAGGTATGTGCAAATAAAAAATAAAAACGAGAAGGAACTGTAACCTGATTACGAATTTGGGAAAAAGATTAATCAACACACAAAGGGAAAAGTAAACTGGTTGACGGCCCTCAGGAATCATGCCCTTTTGCCACAATATAATTAATATTTCCTGTGTGAAAAACAACTGGTCAAATGATGTCCGTGCTTCCCTGTACAGTTTAATGGCGCTCATAATTCTGACCACATTGGTCGGCAATCTGATAGTTATTGTTTCTATATCACACTTCAAGCAACTTCATACTCCGACAAATTGGCTCATTCATTCCATGGCCACTGCGGACTTTCTTCTGGGGTGTCTGGTCATGCCTTACAGCATGGTGAGATCTGCTGAGCACTGTTGGTATTTTGGAGAAGTCTTCTGTAAAATCCACACCAGCACCGACATTATGCTGAGCTCAGCCTCCATTTTCCATCTGTCTTTCATCTCCATTGACCGCTACTATGCTGTGTGTGACCCATTGAGATATAAAGCCAAGATCAATATCTTGGTTATTTGTGTGATGATCTTCATTAGTTGGAGTGTCCCTGCTGTTTTTGCATTTGGGATGGTCTTTCTGGAGCTAAACTTCAAAGGTGCTGAAGAGATATATTACAAACATGCTCACTGCAGAGGAGGTTGCTCTGTGTTCTTTAGCAAAATATCTGGGGTACTGGCCTTTATGACTTCTTTTTACATACCTGGATCTATTATGTTATGTATCTATTACAGAATATATCTTATAGCTAAAGAGCAGGCAAGATCAATTAATGATGCCAATCAGAAGCTCCAAATTGGATTGGAAATGAAAAATGGAATTTCACAAAGCAAAGAAAGGAAAGCTGCAAAGACATTGGGGATTGTGATGGGAGTTTTCCTAATATGCTGGTGCCCTTTCTTTGTCTGTACAGTCATCGACCCTTTTCTTCACTACACTATTCCACCTACTTTGAACGATGTATTGATTTGGTTTGGCTACTTGAACTCTACATTTAATCCAATGGTTTATGCATTTTTCTATCCCTGGTTTAGAAAAGCACTGAAGATGATTCTGTTTGGTAAAATTTTCCAAAAAGATTCATCCAGGTGTAAATTATTTTTGGAATCGAGTTCATAGAATTGTTATATTTTACTGTTTTGCAAATTGGTGATCATGTTTATGAACACAACATAACCCACCACATGCCCCAACCACATGGATTTTTTTAATCAGTTACTTGAGTCAAAGCATGTTTGGTGAGTTAAATTATGATGCTTATAGGTAATTTCCTATTTGGGATATAGGAGGTATAATCTTTTCCATTCTTACCACGCATATCGGAACTTTGCAACTCCAGCATTTAAAGGCCTGCATTGTATATAACTTTTCCTGCCCTTAGAAGAACTGCCATGAGTTTGCTATGGTACCTTAGCTGTTCAGTGGTGGAAACTATAGGGCTGAATTTGAGGATGCAAATTAGAATGATTTTGTCATATCTGTGTACATGTCCTTGTCACATATGTGTATATGTCTTTTAGTAAAATCAACTAAAAGTACACACATTAAATGTTACTGCTAAATAAGTGTTGACACATAATTTATTTATATTGTTAATATATATTCCAATCCTTAAATATCTTGAGTTTCATATTTTTAAAGTATGTTTTTCTGATTCGCATACTTCTGAGAAATTTGAAAAATGAAGGAAAATAAAATATATACAAACCAAATGAAATTTTAAAAATGTTACAGCATACTTCCTGGTAAGGATTATATCATCTAAAATTCTTTATTTTATATTAATATTTTTCCTTTTCAACTTTTATTTTGGAGTCAGGGGGTATGTGTGCACATTTGTTAACTAAATATAATGCATGCTGCTGAGGTTTGGGCTACGAGTAATCCCTTTTTGTGGCTGTATAATGTGACTTTGCACAGATGTACAAATATATTTTTAACCATTCCCTATTGTTAACAATTCCAGTTGTTTCTAACTTTTCTAAAAATAATATTAATTAAATGAAATTTCTGCTTTTTACCTGCTACTGAAGTCATGAAAATGTCTGGAAGGATTTTACCATGTCTTAAGGTCATATCTGGCATCATAGGGTTCAAAACACAGGCTATCTGGCATTAAACAAATTCACTTTGCTGGGCTCCACAGTACACAGAAAGAGAAGCAGCCATCCAGCAAAGTAGCTAAACATGAGGGCCAACAAGAGGTATAATCAGACTGGATATACCATGGCTATTTAGATGGCATATATAAAAATAAAAAAGAGGAACAAATAATGGTTTCAAATAAGATTCTCTAAAGGAAGTGGGCAAACATTCTAAATTACAAGCATTCATCAGCAATTGAGCTGATGAATACAAACTTCACATGGTCTGTTTCAGATTTTGTATCACCAGGGATTTGGATTTACCTTCGGCCCATGAATAACTTAGGGTAAGGCAGATGATTTTAAACATAACTGAATGCACACTGCTGCATATAAATTTCTGTTTACAAATCTGAGGATCTCCTGAGGATATGTTAAATCCTTCTAGAAATTATAGTCTGTTTCTGGAGTATATATTTTGTCTGAATGATCTGTATCAAGTTTTGCTCTAGTACATTTTAAAAACATTATGTTTTATGTTTTTAATTTAGTATACGCAAGACAAACTAAGTAGTGTCCCTAACCACTCTCAGTTTCAGAAGAGTTTTTTCACCTGTGAGACCAGTTTGACTTTTTTCACCTGTAAGACCAGTCTGTCAAATTTTAAAAAGGAAACAAGCATTTAGTGAGTTTTCTATACTTTGCAGTAATTTTATGTGCTTTTCTTCATTTCCTCCCATAATTCTTCTTAAGATTACTCTGAAGTGTTTTGTACTTTTCTGTATGTATGTTTTGCCTATTCTGAATTTTTTTCTAAAACCATTATGTTTTCTATGTAACCATTACTGCTGGTTTTACAATAAAGTTTATATTAGCTTTTCAGTTGACTCATTTGGGTTTTCATTATACAAATCATATTATCCTCAAACAAGGCTAAGTTTTATCTTCTTTCCAGTAATTATGATTCTGATTTATATTCCTTACTGTACTTCACTAGTTAGAATTTGTGAATCAATATTGATAATGGTGATAATCTTTTTTACATTTACTTTAAAGTACTATTCAGGTTTTAGCATAGATTCCACATTTATCTTGGGACAAGTTCACAACTCAAATAATTTTACATTTTTTCACTCGGTACTAAAGCTCTTACAGTCTATCTTTATTGTTGGTTTTGTTTTCAATATTCATAATACGTAATAACTGACCCTCTCAGCACAACAGGAAGAAAGGTTTGCTTTGTCTTTCCATATTCCCAGCTTTGCTGTAGCTTCCCTTTCCTCATGCAGAGGTGTTTTTGTCTTTTAATTTTCCAGAGTCTATTTAACAACTGGAATCCAATTCACTTTTGAGATGTTTTTTATTCCAACTAGTTATAGTTCATTGGAACTGTAATAAAAAAAATTGACCCCTGCCTCTCCCTTTAATTAAGCAGATGAGTAAATTACCCAACCTTGTATTTTCAGACCTTTCTCTAGAATTTGAATCTCTGACAAAGGGATAGAAACAGTGATTCTTAGCAGAATAATTAGCAGAAAACAATGAAATCATGTGGGTGTTCATTTTATCCAAGCAGTAAGATCATGAGCAGACTGCTCATGGTAATATCAAGATTTCTTTCTTCCCCAACTCCAGAACTACCCACCTGTTTGTTCATTTCCAAATTCAGTTATCCAGCATGGATTCCATGAGTCCCAGATAGCCTTCTAATTAATTCCCTTTGAGAATAACTTTTGGTTGCATCCACAGAAAGAACCTTAACTTGACATATAAGATTATAGCAAATACCAAGAAAGCAATTTCAATGCTACTCCTTCCCCAGGTCAAGATAACTTGCAATCAAAACCGTCTCAACTTCCACCCTCTTCTCAAAGAGGAATGTTCATATAAATTTCCACTCCAGATCAGTAAAAGAAGTGTTAGCAAGGAAGTTTGTTGGAACTGATTTAATAATGATAATAATAATGTCATCTTAAGAGATCAGTGAACTGGAATCCATCTTGATTTTGAAGTCAGTTCTTGAAGTCAATAATCCAATCTTTAGAGACTCATAAATATTTGCCAAAAAAGTAGTGCAAAGCAGATGAACTCCAATTCATTGTCGATTCTGATGAGCCAGTTTCCCTTTAGTTCTCAATAAGAACTTGAACATTAAAGGTATAAAGAAATATGCAGAATGATTTATGGTTCTAAATTTAGTAGATGATAAAGTGTACTGACAAAATTATTATTTAGTAGTTGAGATATGCACTCAGAAAATCTGGATGATGTAAGAATCAGATTGAGAGTTCTGTTTTTTGTCTTTTGCTTTTTTAAAAGATAAAGTACATATGCATTTTCCAAAGTGCTTTAATATAACTCATTGAGTACGTGGCCAGCTATAAGAAATATTGGAAGTAAACTTGACAGATCCTCACCACCTTCTCCACATCTCTTGTCCTTCTAAACCTCCTGCCCCAAGCCTTTGAGCTCCCAGTGAACTTAGGCTGCTCTAACATTCATTCCATTGAGGCTGGTTCTGTTCTGATTCACATTAGCTTCAGCATTTCCTTTGTTTCTTTCATTTTTCACAGGGGGAAGACATTATGGACTCACACAAATTAAAATGTTCTCAATATATTTATAAATTAAAGTGATGTAGGAGCTTAAAATTAGGCCACCCACAATGATTTATCAATGGCAGCTTTCCCTCTTTTTTAAAGTATACGTCTAGTTCTGGGATACATGTACAGAACGTGCAGGTTTGTTACGTAGGTATACAGGTGTCATGGTGGTTTGCTGCACCCATCAACCCGTCATCTACATTAGGTATTTCTCCTAATGCTCTCCCTCTCCTTGCCCCTTACCCACTGACAGGCCTCAGTGTGTGATGTTCTCCTCCCTGTGCCCATATGTTCTCACTGTTCAACTCACAGTTATGAATGAGAACATGCTCTGGTTTTCTGTTCCTGTATTAGTTTACTGAGAATGATGGTTTCCAGCTTCATCCATGTCCCTGTGAAAGACATGAAATCTTTCTTTTTTTATGGCTGCATAGTATTCCATGGTGTATATGTGCCACATTTTCTTCATCCAGTCTAACATTGATGCGCATATGGGTTGGTTCCAAGTCTTTGCTATTGTGAATAGTGCTGCAATAAATATACGTGTGCAAGTGAATTTATGGTAGAATGATTTATAATCCTTTAGGTATATAACCAGTAATG